TCTGTTTTAAACGTTCTCTGCTGCTTCTCTGTTTTAAACGTTCTCTGATTGGAGGAGCCAAAGCAAGCCAAAGCAAATCAGTCAAATTTTGAAAGTCGTCGCGAGTGGTTGTTTTTCTCAACAGTTAAAAGGCGCGTTTTGAAAACGTATATATAATTCGAAGCAGAGCAAAAACACAACAGAAAAAAAAACGTTGAAAAGGTAAGAGAAACGTGGGGAGCCTACAACAACAACAAGCGGATTGATTTGCCGGCCGCTTCCTGCAGTCGCATTTGTATTCGTTTATTTTTGTGTCTATGTACATAAGTGTGTTTGTGCATGCCGTGTGTTAAGAAGACGTTTACAAAAGCAGTCGGCAAAAAAGTAAATAAATGGATTTTTTCTTTAATTTTTTTTTCTGCTCCAACTGGTATTGTGCTTATGCGGCTAGCGGCTATTTCGTATTGATATTTATTTTTAACGGCTGCCATCAGCATCAACGTGGTTTTTTGTTCTTTTTTGAGTTATGAAATCATTTAAGAATGTATGTAACTGAAAAATTGGAGGAATCGGGGGGCTGGACGAAATACGCCAAAAGTCGATAGCGTGCAATGAGTGTGTGTGAGTACAACGGTGGAGAAGGCTGCAGCGGTTGGGGGCGGTTTAACGTGCGTTCATCAGCGCGTTTTTATGTACGCTATATATCGATGCAAGCGACAGACAGCGGCGTTGACTTTAATTAATTGCAAAAGTAGCCAAGTAGATGTAACAACAACAACATTAATATTGTGAAAAACAAACAAAACAAAACAAAACAAAGACAATAAGTAAGAAGTCAACGTCCAATAATAAGTGAATTAATTGGCGCTTTGTGTGCGCACATTTACCTTTTCTTTGTTTTATTTTCTTACTTTTTTTAATTCTACTTTTACTAGTACTAAGAACACGATTTCTTATGTGCTCCTATTTTTTTTATAGCTTTCGACTTGTCAACGACCAACAAAGCGCGCGCTGTTAGTACTTTTACATACATACTCTACCACACCACACGTTGGAACCTCCAAGCTATCGGGCAACCGAGCAAACGTGCGGTACAGTAGAGCACCACACAAAGCAAAGCGGTTTCGGTGGGAAGAGGAAGTCTCACTAATTTTTTGGAAATTTTCCACCACTTCGTTGTGCTGCAGCTGCGTCGATTCGTAATATTTAGCTGATTTTTGTACACATACATACGTGCATACATATCTACGAGAATATTAAAGCAGCACACATTGTGGGAAAATCGCTAAAATGGTGCTGACGAACTTTGAGTGTTGGGCACATGGTGGTGGTGCTGTTCTTGGCAGCGATGGCTTTGCGCTTGACTCACGTCACGTGGATATGTTCAATACGCGTATGGTGCAGCAGCATCGGTTAAACAACGCAACCGGAATAGCGGCCGTGTCGCACATCTCCTCGAATGGCTATTATGGATTTTCCTATGTAAATGCAGCGCATGAGTCGGCTGACGACAACAGTCACACCAACAACAACAACGACAACATTAATAATACGAATGTTAACCTTAACAACAACAACAACAACAACAATAACAATAATAACAACAGATGTGTGCCAAATGCAAATAATGTCAATGGCATGCCGTTGATGCACCACAACAACAACCACAGCAGTAGCATGAACGTCAGTGCAATCAGCGTTGACGCTGGCTCTCCTACCGCCGCCGCCGCCGCCGCCGCCGCCGCGACATTTGGCACACAACGCTGCAAGAAGCGCTACTTTGCGAGCGATGATGACTATGCCAACTGCGCCTTGCTCAACGGCTGTGACAGTGGCGTGGGTGCCGACGGTCTTGATGTGTGCGTCGCCGCTGCCGCCAAGCGTTGCCGCTTTGATGACGACTACGCTGCCGCACAGTACTGTAATGGTAATTTCATTCACCTTATTCTTGTTTTTGTGTGTGTTTTTCTTTGTTAATTTTTATTTTGTTTATGACTTTCTTTGTTTTATTTTGTTTTTCTTTCGTATTTTGCGTGTTGTGTGCAACTGTTGGAACATTTGTTGTTGCATTTTTTATTTCATTACTACATATAGCGTGTGTTTATATTAGCGTTCCATGTGTTGTGTGTGTTTTTCCGTGTTTTCTTTGCGCTACGTGAGTTAAATGAAACATTTATTTTTACTATAAATTTGAAGGTCAAGCGCGTAAACTGCATTTAGAACAAATGTATGCAATTCATACATAGGTTTTTACGAAAATCAAGGACCGTAGGTAATCATCATAATAAATAAAACAATTTATTTTAAGTCATCAGCATTTCATGATTATTTTATGATTTTTATTATTTCGCTCAACGAAAATAATTATTATTTAATTTTTAGTTAGAAATATTATTAAAAAAATTAAACCCAATATTAATTACTTACATTGAATTACTTTGCTGTTGCAAATTAAGTACATAAACGAGCATTTTTTCTTGATTCCTTTAGAAATTAAATTACTCTCAATTACAAATTACAGGGAATTGTAATTGTGAACCAATTCCTTCAGTCCACAGCAAAGGAATTGATTAGTTTTTCAATATTTTAGAAGTAATTTCAAATGTAAATTTTTTTTAACTCCTTTCAAAGGAATTGAAAACGAAATATATTTTCTTCTATTTCCAACATTTCCATTACCTGGAAATAAAAAATTAATTGAGAAACTGAAAGTTCATTCACGAATGTTAAATGTGGATATTTTTTTTGTAATAAAAAAAAATAAAAAAAATCGATACATTGAACATCTTCTATCTACATCTATGTACATGCACATACATACGACATATAGTATATATAAAAATGTTGTGTTCGTTTGTACGAGACCTCAAAACTCGAGATCGGCTGAACAGATTTTAATATTTTTTTTTAATTGTTCGGCATAATACCAAGATTTATTGTACAAAAATTTGGCGGGTTGCCACCTGTTTTAAAATTTTAAACTCAATTAGATTGATAAAATTAATAAAATATAGCAATGTGGGTATTAAATTAAAGAAGTTTAATAAAGATAACCATTGGGGATATTGTTGAGGAGTGTTGTCACCTATTGAAAATTTTAACTCAGTTAAATTGATAAAATATTGCAGTGTGGATGTTGAAACTAGAGTTTTAAGAAGGCTTACAGTCGAAAATATTTTCGAAGAGGGTTGCCACCTTTTTGCAAATTTAACTAAGCCAGTGCATTTTTATAGATACGCAGGAATTCGTCCAAGAGAACAGCAGTGCCCGAGGCAGCAACAGTCCGGTCTGTTCTTCACCGAAAGGCGAGCATGAAAGTATTCGGGCGAGTTATGCGCATTCGCGATACGATACGGAAGTTTTAAGTTATTCAGCTTTCTTAAGGTTCAATTAGTAAACTACTTAGGTATAAGTTATTTATTCAAAGCAGTTAGCAACCAAGAAATTTGACAAAGCTATTGCACATCAACAGTAAAAAAAATTGTAAATACATTTTTCGACTACCTTTTAAATTACTTTGAGAAATGGAATCGGAAATCTATTTTTTTTAATTCCTTTGAACTGAGTTGAAAAAAAACCAATTACATTTTCAATTCCTTTCAAAGGAATTGGGGGAAAAAAATACATTAATAGCACGTAATTTATTCCAATTACAATATGAAATTCCTTGCAATGGAATTCAAAACAAAAAAAAGAAACAATTACATTTGAAATTACTTCTAGGGAATTGTGAACGTCATCAATTAATTTGCTGTGAACTGAAGGAATTGATTCCTTATTACAATTACTGAGCGATGTAATTGTAAAGTAATTGAATTTACCCAGCTCTGCCAATACACCATAGCGGCCGTCGAGTATGAAACTGCATATAAAGATTCTTAATTGAAACTTAAAATATTTTATATATAATATGTGAACAATCACACATAGATGCACGATAACTCGGTTGTCACTCAAAAACAATGCTTTAACTGATAGGGGAGGCACGACACTACACGCTATTGAAACAGATAAGAATGTTCTGTGACACAGTACGAGGATCACTAATAAGTCTATAGAATTCGCACCACATTTTTTGAGCATTGATCTGAACGTTTTACAGTACGAGCACTCTTTGTGTTGTTTAAAGGTACTTAAAAGTGTCAGGTACACAAAAAATGAATATTAAAGAAAAGGGTTTCGTTGGATGATTGTCAACAACTTTTAACCAAATACAAGAGCAATGCAACTTATTTCGCCTTTCAATAAAGGGCCAGTGTGTAATATTGGTATGGTGCATTCAAGTGTGGTCGTACTTCGCCCGCCAAGGAACATCGAGAAGCTTTTCCAATACGTAGAACAGTTAATTCTGAGTAGTGAACATTTATTTGTTTGGAAACAGTCTTGAAGAAAGAAATAATGAAACACAACAAACGGTCTTTCATCAAGCCAATGCGAGTTTTCACCCATCTATTTAGTAAAACAAATGATTTTTTAAGCATTCGAAACATCGAATTAATGGATCATCCGCTGTACAATCATCCTAATGGTTCTCTTTGTTTACGTACATCGAGAATAAAGCTGCATTTACATGAGGCGGTTTTCTAGGCGTAATGATGACATCAACACAGCGAAATGTGGTGTTGCTTCAAACTGAACATTTGAAAGCACATTTACATGCATGGCTGTAGGTAGCTGAGTGTGCAAAGATGCTTCGTTCAAGCGGTTGCTGTCAAGACTGTCCGGGTTCAATTCTCATCAGACGGACCACAAAATTAAATTTTTTTTATTTTTTATTTTTTTAAGAACTTTTTCAGTGACCCTCTTAATAGTTATAAAGAACACTTTTTTGCTTTATTATATTTAGATATTTCAACTTATCAAGAAATACTTTTTTGAGTGTTTGAAGTTCTCTTACTTATCTTCATAACTTAATTTAGTCTCAATACCTTCCAGGTGGAGAAGACGTTTTTTTTTTGCTTCGGCGTAGTCATAAAGTTATAAAAACGCACTAGGAATGCCTAACAAGCGCAAGAAACTTTCTGAAAAGCAAAAAAAAACAAAAGTCTGAAGGCAAAACATATTTTGCTTTGATTAACTGATAAAGTTACCGCCAAGCTGTTGATTTATTTATTACTCTGCAAACACATAAAAGACAAGTTGTAGAAGAGCGTAAAATGCTTTACTTTATTTGAATAGCATTTTTCTGTTTAGTTGTTTTATAAAATTAAAATTTTAATAATGATTGCAGCGCCCTTGATCTCACAATCAATAGCATTTACTGTAGTATTGTCATAATTAGAACTTGCCATAGCTACTTACTCGCCTCGCTCGCAATTTATCCATCGCCTGTCGCATTGCAAATTGACAAAGCGCATGCCATTTGGATGCCCCCTTCTGCTGGCACTGATGTTTGATAAATTTGAATTTTATATATTTTTTTTCAAAGTTTTACTGCACTTTTCTGTATTTTTGTGCTCATGTCTGTGTTTGCCTACCTCATCTGGTCAGTCGTTAATTAAACATGTGACGCACATTCTTAATACAATCGGTATTTGGTAAAGTAAATGTGCGCTGCATTGTCGCAGCCAAACATTGGCGTCGACGTCAAAGTTGACGTAAACAAAACCTGATAATTTTTATTTGCAAAAAAGCTGTTAAGCAGCTTTGTTTTCCATTTCTTCTTTTTTTGCTTTTGCTTTTACAGCACAATTATTTTTACACATTTAGGTCATGCAGCTAGCGATGATGTCGTTCACAGTGAGTCAACGCTAGACGGCAGCAGCGCAGCGTAAAGTGGTGTGCGCTGAGCGGTCGTAGAGGTGTATGAGCGATTTTATTTGTATGTATTTGAATTGCACTAGAAATACAAAACAAAAGTAATATCTCCAAGTTGTACAAACTGGGAATCTTTACATCAGGTTGCTTTACATAATTATCAGACTGTGAATAGGTGCTTCAGATTTTCTTTAAAAAATAATTATATTTTTATCTCTAAAATTTTTTTTTACAAAACTGTCATCGCTGAGAATTCCATTAGATATGTTATGTAATGTTTTGGTATGTCTTGCTATGCTTTGTTATGTTATGTTATGTTTGATATGTTATGTTATGGTATCTTAGTTTTGGCTATGCTGTTATGTTATGTTATGTTGTGTTATGTTATGTTATGTTAAGCTATGTTGCGTAGATAAAATTTTTTTACTTTACACAAATTCGTACTTAGTAAGTAAATCAATTGTTTATACTGTTACATTAACTGTGTGTTTCATCACCTTGTATTCTATTCCTTTTTCAGATTTCTTCTCACTCCCCTCTACACAGATTGGCACACAATCGTGTCTTATGGACACCGAGGACACACAACAACTACAACAGCAACAGCAGCAACCACAGGTAGATGTCAATATGGGCGCTGCAAATCTCACCAATCAAACAATCCACAATGCGACAAGTAATATACACTTTATCACACAACAACAACAACAACAGCACGCTGAGCAACAGCAACAACAGCAAGTAATAAATACTGCACAATCACCTCCAGTAGTTGTATATCAGCAACAACATAATTATCAAGGTCACTTGCATCGCGCCAATCGGGATGTTAGTCGCTGCTTGTTGTCGCACATGATTTAAATTAAAACAGAAGCTAGAGAAAAAAGTAAAAACCAAAAAAAAAAAACAAAGCAAGTTTCGCTAAGCGAAAGCGAAATTTAAATGCATTAGGTCAAGGCCAGAAAAAAGTTTCATAAATTTAAGTTTCTAGCGAATTACGTACTGACTATTTTTTCGAATTTCGATGTTTTTTTTACGTTTAGAATTTGGCAGTTTACTTAAACTCGAAAAATTCGAAAATTTCGAAATTATTTTTCATAGATGTTTTCATGCTTCGATCAAAGTTTCGAGACTTTTCGCGTATTTTCGCAGTTGAAGCGAACTTCGCCAATGAATTATTTTTATATTTACGCGGAATTATTACATTTTTACTTAATGCATTTTGTATGCAATATTAAAGCAATTAAAGCAACTTTGAGTACCTTCTCTTAGCATAAATGTATTAAATTTTTTATATTATTTTTTTTTTTAATTCTTAATTTATAAATATTAAAAAAAAATATTGATAAAATATAACCATGTCACCTCAAATGCAATATTAACACAGTTACTTACATACATGCATACTTGGTAACAGAAACGAAAACATATGGCTTTTAGTGTGAAATTTATATATGCCTACAAATGTACATACTTAAATATGTATATTCGTTTATTTAATTTAATTGCACATTTAAATTTCTTGGCCGTATATCGCTTATACATACATACATATACAGTATTTAAGGCAAATTGAGTGCAGTGACTTGTGAAATTAAAACGCAAAATATTTACATGCATACATACATACATACATATGTATGTACATTAGGGCGGGCAAATTTTTTTCGACTATAGGCGTATAGCATAGCTTTACGTGTAATTCTAACCAAGAATTCTGCAAATTTTATCTGCACACTTGTTATTAAGATTTTCTAACAAATTTTGTGTATGCAGTCTTATAGCCCATTCAATTTTACTATAATAATCGGCAAATTTTAATTTCCTTAAAATTCGCACTGATTTTTACGGCTTTATGCATTTTCTCCAAATAAAAAAGCAAATGCTGAGCACAGTCGGCAAAAACAAAAAAAATTAAAATTAAAAATCAACGCGAATTTGAAAGCAACTACTCATTATTGTACTAAAATTGAATGTGCTATAAAACTGCATACTCGAATTTTTTTTTTAGTTCTTACTAAAAAGTTCGCAATTTTTGATGAAGTTTTGCAGAATTTTAATTTTCGTACAAAGTTTGAAACCAGCCATATTTGAATAAAACATTAACAAAAAATGTTTAACATTAAAACTATATGAATATTTAACAAAATCACCAGATACTCAATTTTGTGACTGACTTGTGATTTAAAAAAATATTTGAATTTAAATGGAAATGTGTACATGAATTGTATTTTTTCTTACGGCACTATTTACATCAAAATGCTAAGTAAAAGAAACATATTTTCGCAATTTGGCAAACTCCAAATTGATTTTAGGCCCATGGGTTCTTCGGCAAATATTCTTAGAATTAAACGTAGAATTCTCCTATGCTATGCCTATAGTCAAAAAATCTCCCATACAAATTTATCCGTCCTAATTTACATATATAAATATGTACATATGTATGTATGCTTATACATATGTATGTAATCCAAATTCATTTCATTTGCCGTAATTGTGCGTTTACAGCACATTTCGTAGCATATATGAATGTACATACATACATCTAGTACATATGCACATAAATATACAAACATGTACCTAAAATGTTGCACAGCTAATTACTTAACATGAAAAAATGTTATTTTTTTTTTGCGCCAAAAGAAAAGCAACTGCGTGCGTAAATTTTATGTCAGTCTACCTTGGCATAATTGTTCGGTGCGTTTTGTAAGCAGTGGATTCGAATGTATGTTTGTACGCAGAAGAAGCAATAAATATATTATCCTTAGGCGAGCAATATGTTGCAAAATATGGGGAAACTAAGCAAAAAACTCAAATATATACATAAGTATGTAGATACGTATGTAGATATATTGGCGCAAAAGATGTATCTATACCTACAACCAATCACTTTTCTAATATTTTTATATAGTAATTCGAATCATTGTCTAATGATTTAAAAATGAAGAGCAATATTTTTAACCAACCTAAAACCAAAACTAAAAATAAACGAATATTAAAAATATTGTACGAAATTGCAAATAAAATATATTAGTGAAAATTATTTATATTTGTTGTATGTTGAAAATATACCAAATACAATTTTTTACAGCCAGTTATTATAAATTTGATTTGCGCTTTCTCTTTATAATTTTAAACGAATCAAATGTGTTTCCATACAAGAAACACATTGAGCTTTTAACTACCTGGCGGCTACAAGTGACTAACATATCGATTGAGCGACTATGCTGTGCAGCAATAATTGCTTAGAAAAAGTACTTTTAAACGCTTACGATTATGGATTATTAAGTTGACTTGCATATGCACTGTAAATGTGCATACATATGTACATATGTATACACTTGTGTACATAAGTATGTATGTATGTTTATCCACACAATAGCTGACACTTACACTGAGGTGTAAAATAATCATTGTCACAGAAAAGTTGCTATCGTTAGATTTTCTTTCCCCTCTCGCCCCCTCTTTTCCACGTCTATAGTATATGCATTTTATATTGAGGTTAGATAAGTTGAGTTCGTGCTGTATACAATGCTTTAGTGAAAAAGTTAATCAATAGTAAGCTGCAATTGTGAAAGTGGGCTACGAGGAAGGGCAAAGTTGCAGGGTGATAAGTCACGAGCCACCTTGCAATAGATGAATGTTATGCCCTGCAATAGATTCGATTAGTTAATTCAAAACTAGCTTAGAATAGGCAAACTACTGGAACGCGCTTAAAAAGTTATTGTTTTCATACAGAGGCTAAGCTGATCATTAGCGCCGATTTAGTGTAAAAAAAATGATTCGGTGTGTGATGAACTATTTTTGAAACTACGGTAAGTAAATCTAATAATCAGATATCATTCGGTAGTGCGCGCAAAGGGCCATAATCAAAGAGTTACATGATTGCAAAATAGTGACATCAACGGCTTTACTCAAAACATAGTACCAGGTTGACCGAGCTATGCCCGGAGTGCATATACTTTTAAACTTTTCATGATTTGGATAGCTTTAAAAAAATATTTTGGAAATAAACAAAAAGAAATAGGATTTCGATATCTATTAAACAAAAATTTATTTGGCAATCCAATTGCGAAATACTCTGGAATGGATGGTACATATCTTTTGATCGTATGTGTACTGTGTATACATAAAAAAAATTGATTGAAATTAAGAAAATAAAAATTTTTATTATATAGAAACGTGGCAACCCTGATGGAAAATATTTTCTGACCAAAGTTCTTAACAATACCTTTCATGGGATATTCATATTGCGATGTTTTAGATAAATTGTGTTGCATTATAATTACAAGATATCAATCAATTAATCAGCATTTTCTATTAATCTTGTTTTAAATAATGAACTAATTTTTTTTCAAATCATTTTGCTGCTATTATTCGAGTATTTTAGTATTTTATTACAAAGTCTGCATTCCATAAAATTACTATCATAAATTTTTGTGTAAAATTTCAAAAATTCCCTTTCTACATGAGCCATTTTTAACACGAACGTTTAATTTTCCGAATTTACAAAGACAGTTATGTGCCTCTTTGTTGAAATCAGTGATGTTACTTTGAGATATGGCAGGGTTCTTTTACTCACAAGCAAAGTTGCCATTTCGCTAAAACTTTGAAGCGAGATGTAGTACGCATTTTTCTATGAAGAAAATGTTGTGAGTGGCAGCAATGTTTCAATATTATAATTCGATGAATCAAAACAGGAAATTCGATTCGGTTAAATCGCTTTCTAAAAAAAATTACTCGATTATTGCTATGCATTTTGGTATGAGTAGCCTATTGGAAGGATTAGGGCTGCCTTTGGCTCACAATTAATCACAAATGCAATGGGATGGCAACTTCATACGATATTCGATTTGATCAAGTTCTTTCGCCATTTATGACCGTAAATGAAACATGGATTGGGAACAACGTGTGGTGATATTTTCCGGGGATACGTGCCGAGACTGGCCTAACTCCACGGCGCTCAAAAGCACTGCGAATCAAATCAATGCAAAGATCAGCGCCCCGAAATGCAAGCATCTCGGTACCAATTGGCAGTGCGGAATGGAAACACTTAGTACCTTGGTAAGGTTCGAGCCCCATCTAAACCTCTGCCGTGCTATAGGTCCGGCACCCGGTTGCTACTCAACTTCACATCGAGCCTACAAATGTCAACTCTACCCGCATTTGGGTATTAAACCACAACCACCACGATACTCCCCAAGGGGCCGTACCCATGAACCGGCTAGCGTAAACTTTAATTCACAGTGGGGGCTCCTGTTCCGCGTGGTAGCAGAATTAAGTCTCCGGTCAGACCTCGTAGCCGAAACTATTACCAGTTGAGTTTCCGTAATGAATTGGGGAACAGCACAACGGAAACCAAGCAGCAATGGCAATAATGGTTTTTTTCGCGTGAATAGGCGTCAAAGAAGGTCAAGGTGGATCTGTTCGTCATCAGGATTGTGACAAAACTTTTTTGGAATGCACCTAGCATAATCTACACCGATTACCTTGAAAACCAACCGTTTTAACAATGATTTGGAGAAAAAACTACAACTTTTGGCTTAAAGGAAATTATTCTGCTTCATACAAAATATCACCTTCCTATTGACCTACTCTCATGTGAGCCAGAATTAGAAAATTTTTTAAGGGTGTGTGCATTGCACTTAACAGTTGCATGTATATGTTAAAACTGTACTATATGTAAGCCACACATGGTGAGTACACACAAACATATTTGGGCATCCATATGCAGCAGATGTTTGCACTTCAACTGTCCAAAACGCTGGGATAATTGCGTGAGAATACAACACATGGATATTATCGATTTTTCTGAAAAACACGTGTAAAAAATACAGTTCAGTTAATGAATTGTAAAATAATAATAATAACAAATAGTAAATTACTTAGTGATTTTTTTCTTTTCACTTCACCTCTGCATATGCCGAAAAGTGAATATCTGCATTTAAGTTCTTTTACATACATATATGCATTAGGGTGCCTCACCAAAAAAATTTGCGTTTTTTCCAGCGGTATTATAAAATTGATTATATTTTAAGACTTCCGCCAAAATATAACGGAAAAATATTAGGATTTACGTGAGCTGAACCCATTTGAAAATACCTCTAAAAATCTCATTATTTTTATTCCATTGATAAAATGTTTAAACATATTTATGCAGGCCATCTAAGCTTAAACTCTTCTATCATCTGAAGTGATTTTTTTTTTTTAAACTTATTTTATGTATGTATGTATTTATAAAAACTCGATTTTCGGTGGTATTTGCAAATCGGTCTAGCTCACGTAAATCTTAATATTTTTCTGAAAAACAGTACGGATTTTTTTATGGATGGTGATGCTCCCTAATGTATGTACCTATGTACATAGATATTTATATTCGTTTCTTATAGCAACAGTACGTGCAAGCAGTTCTCGACATCAAGTACCAGAGTGATAAAGTGTATATTATTTTTAAATCCTTCAGAAATATAACATGCTCTCATACACATACTATACATACATATGTATGTTACATGCCTTCAAATACCAATTGGCTGACGTTTTCGCTGCATTTTGCTATTGTTGCTGTTGTTTTGTTGTCATGCTGTACATGTATCAAAAGTAAACCAAAATTAAAATTCAACCTGCATATCCGTGAATCCATGAGAACATTCCATGCTTCTCTTTTCTTACGTTGAACTCAATATTAATTTAATTTTTTTTTTCACTTCAACCCATTTCATTTCTTCCTTCCTTCTTTTATTATAGCAAAAAGACATCGGCAAGCCATAAATTACGATACCAGCTATGTAAACATTAATCTATCTAACAATATTAATGCTGCTAACCAAAACAACACACAAATCTCTTACAATAACCATAATATCGAGCGTTTGGCTAGTAATGCAGCAACAGGGAGAAGTGAGAATGGTGGTGTTGGCATTAGTGACAATAATGATGTGATATCTGAAGGTGATGGACATACTGGTGTTGGACATACATATCAGTTGAATTCAGCGGGGATTACTGCCCAAATTAAAGCGACGAGCCACGAGGACACTACTAGTACAGCCAACATCGCTGCATTGTATGCCAAAACACATGGCGGCGCTTTCTATCAATTCACAGCAGGCATGACAGGTAATCAGCCATATGTGGAGGATATTTGAGAGAAACGTCAAAGGCAAGAGGCAATGCGATACGAAGAGCTAATTCAGCAAGCATCGAAATTAACGAAAATTGTCATAGTTATTTTCATGTTCGCATTAGCGAGCACTTATAAACCGAATTTACTAGGTTTTAGAAATGATTTCTGTAATATAAATTGCACTGAATTTAATAGATGTTAGGAATGAGGAAAACTGTGTACGCCGCTTACTCTAAAAGCGGCTTTGATTTGTAAATTGAGTTCCATTTAGAGAGAAAGAAGAATTTCCTTTTTTACAGTTATTTTGATTTTTTTTTTATATTTACTATAAACTTGAATTCACTAGTTGTGTTTGTTTACAAATTATACAGTAACTTGCCAGCAACTCCCCAGTAACTTAATTTCTGAGAATTAGAAAAAATATGCAAAAAAGTACGAGAACGCAAATCCAGTAATAATTTGCAAGTTTCAAGAACATCTGGTAAATTGCTTGTTTATTCGCAGCAAATTCTTAAATATATTTTATATTTAAATAGATTTATTTTGCCAATTTCAACAATAAAACAATATGCGATCAGCTGTTTTTTGTACTGGCAAATTCTTACAAGTAAAAATTTATCCAGTAAAAACTTGCGCCTTCAACCGTCATTTTCCACTCTCTCAATTTCCCCTAATTTGCAAGTTTTTGCGTACGTAAACGCCAAATATGAAAATTCGTAAAAACTTTTACTGGATTTTACTGAAAATGAGTAAACAAACACAACTAATGTAGTCACTGAGTTACAACACTTTAGCAACTAACNAGTAGGGATGTACCAACAAGAATATACAACAAAAGTATGAAAGTCTTTAGAACTTGGAAAGATAGCGATGGCTGAAGTAAAAAGTGTTACACCATGTTACAGTTTTGCCCGTCACTGTATATATATACATATGGGCGATTCCATCGTCACGGGTTGGACATTTGTACAGAAAAAATTTTCTTTCTTGTTTGAATTTAAGTATAAAGTACACAACAATTCTACATTTTGATAAAGCTACACCTAATTGCCTATTATATGCGTTATTACAAAATACGAAAAAATTCCAGCTTACTTTATGTGGAAAAAATCTGATTAATTTCTTCTGTCACGGGTGGGACAAAAAAAGAACCTGCCTTTTGGAGCAGATATATTTTACGGAAACTTTTCTATGTGAACTTGATGTCTTATAATAAAACAAAGAACCAGGAACACAGACAAAGCAAAAACTACAAAAAAAAGGGCTTTATTATACAAAAAATACAAAACAGCCAAGTTGGGGTTAAATTCACTCCCGTTTTATCTTAGGCTGATGCCTTTTATATAGAAGAAAATGCTTAACACCGTCAGCAAAAAAATTTAAATTTTTGGGTGTAATTGTTAGAGTTTGTAGAATTTTTATAATTTTTGTAAGAAGTTTGAAATGTAGATTTATGACTTTTATAAAGAGAAAATATAAACATTAGATTAACAATTAACAAAATAAACAACCAAAACTGGTCAAAATGTAGGTTAACTTAATCAGCTGACCACAAGGGTATATAGATAATGGAGTCTAAACAATTGAATTATGATTCGCAAATTATTTGACAGTGCATTCAACACAACCTACTTTGAACTCAATCAAAAAATTTACTTAGAACTTAATATCAAAACGCAAAAAGGCATTAAAAATGCATTTAAAGCTTTAATTTGTTATTTTTTGGTTGATTCAAGATTTTTACAAATGTATTATCCACACGTTTGTTAGTTTTATAAAGAAAATAACTTTTTCACTGAGGTTAAATTTCCCATGGAACCTCCCATACATACTTACAAATGTACAACCAAAAATTTGCATTTGAAAGTGAGTAGCTTGAGAATATTTCGGTAACACCTTTTGTGTGCTTCAACAAAAAAAAAAATTTATAAAAAAATGCAAATTAAATCACGCCTACATATGTACATGCATAAGTACATATGTATGTGTGTAAGTGCATATATAAGTTTATTAATAAAACGAGGGTGTTAAAGTTTATGCACCGTTAGCCGGAATTCGCCTAATATTAAATGGAAAATTGACACAAAATGTAGTAGGGTGGCGTTTGGAAATAAATATATGTATGTACATATGTGTAAACTGCATGTACACATACCTACAGTGGTCAAAAAATTTATAGCCGCACCATATTTTGACAATTTTTGACATATGACATAGGCAGTCTGACGTTTGCCAGCAATATATAATTTAAAAACTAAAAATTCAAACTCACACACCCATTCTCATTTTCCACCTCAAACAACAACAATTGTGAACAATTTCGTTTTTTTTATTTTCAATTTTATATGATTTTAAAATGCTGTCAAACGTCAGAAAAGAAATCATGGCCGACGAATTGAGGGAATGAATGTACCTTGTAATATTTTTATCATGCTTTATTATACTAAAATTCAATGGACAACAGAATCTTTCTAGAAAATCTAATTGAAAAGCTGACATTTTTACGAAATTTTGTTGATTTTTTTTTAATATTTCACAAAGTTGGAAATTTGGATTTATACGGGCTTTGTTAAAGAATGAACTATATTTTTATAAAAAAAAAAAATAACCAAAACAATATGTTAAAACTGATTAAATATAATTCTTTCGACCACTGTATGTGCAATCCAACTAAATTCCTCTAATAAAAATATATACATACATATGTATGTATTTTTGTATGCGTGCATAAACATCTCCCTCTATTCTTTACCCCACCAAATAATGTGGCACAGATACACATTATAAATTATTAATTCGTAAGCAATCATATCACAAAAAAATACCAAATAATATAAAACAAAATATTAAAAAAAATATATACTTTCACCGTAAATCGCTTGTAATTAACAAATATAAACATTAATGAACTCAGAGTGCGCAATCTGCAAGCCAAATAATCATTTTTCGTGTATTAACACAAATGCAAAAACGCGTATAATAACGATTGCAATTACAAAAATATTGTAATAAATTGCATTTTGTTTTTTTTTTTAATTTTCAAGAAAAATGTATTTAAATATTTACAAAATGAATTTTAAAAGCATATTTAAATGTAATTAAAAAAATAGTAACTGTATTTAACATGATGTAAAGTAAATAAAAGGCATGTAAGTTTGTGTGAAATAGAGCAAAAAAATCTAATTTCATTTAACAGGACATAAGTAGGCAAAAAAATAGTAGAACCAAATAGAATAAAAATTCAAACATACTTTGTATGTATGGACATACCATAAAACAGAAAATATTCCCTTTACCAAATACAGCCCACAACTCTGTTACGTTTTGTTATAAAATTGAGCAGAAAATAAAAATTTAAAAAACTCCGATATTTTGTTTGTGTGTACATAAATTTGTTTAGCAACGTGTTTCTCTAAAGTTATTTTCTTTGAAAGTCGATTGTTTAAGTTGAAACAATCTAAAAAAAGAAATTAATTAATTGTTTAATAAATAGGTATGCATATACATACATATCGTTGATGAGATGCAGAAAGGCCCCAACTAACACTATTTATTGTATTTTTTTTTCAGAAGAGCCAAAAACGTTACATAATTGAAATAATAAAATGTTTATTATTCATCGATATGAATTTTAGTTAAATATCAATACCTAACATAATTTAAAACAATCTTTTTTTTCATCAATTATGTCGACGAACATGATTCCCCTAACGATCTGGATGGCCTTTACAGAAAGCATTCCTGTCCTTTGTCTTAGATATGCCAGTATACTCCTTACCATTCATCCTAGTTTTTGTATTTGTGGCACGCCGCACAGTGGGCCACCACATACAAGTTAGCCGGGAAAAAATGTTTTATTGGTACTGATTCTTGGATTTGTCGTAAGAAGTGGCCATTGAGAAATTCACCTTGATCGGGGATCGATTGGATGGCTCCAGAGGTCCTTTTAGCAAAACGGTATATTGAAGGTATCTATATATAAATAAGCCACAATAAAATTTTTAACCTCCTTTTTTGAGGGCATCGTTCGCTCGATTTCAATGAAATATATACCGATTTAAAGGATGCAACTTCCTTTAATCCAATAATGTTAATCCCGATACATAGGAAGCATCTGACACACATAGTAAAATGTGAAAACCGATATATATCTAAACCCAATTATCCTGGGCAACTGAAACTTGGCACGGATACATAGATTCTAATTACCCTACTCACGGCGAAAAATGATAGGTATTGGAAAAGGGGGCGTGGCACTTCCCGTACAAACTGAAATTTTCATATCGCTTATCTCTGGAACCGCTTATGCCACCGTCCTGAAATTTTACACAGCAACATATGTGACACGTAAAGTTAAAAGGGAACTAGGGTCAGAAAAAATCGGTTTTCACTTTTTCATCAACTCCTATAGTAAACGGGCCGCTCTTTCCAATGCAATAAACCGCAGCTTTCTAATTGCATTAGTTTTTTCACAATTTCACTTCAAAGTTAGGTACTTTTGCAAGAAAAAAGTACAAAAAAATCAAATCTGACAAACAACACTGAAATTAATCAAATTCGCTTGAAACTCGTTACTCGGGGGTTTTCGAACATCGGATTCGTAATAAGTGACCTCGTTTTCGGTGTCAACGACATTTTTGAGTTTCACATGAATCCGAACAAATTTTACATTTTTTCCGCCATATTGGATCCGCCATTTCGAATTTTTAAAAACGAACATCGGATTCGTAATAAGCGACACCAAAATCCCCCGAGTAACGAGTTTCAAGCGATTCCGTTCAATTTTTAAAAAGGCATCCGCCATATTGGATCCGCCAGTTTGAATTTTGGAAAACTAACATCGGATTCGTAATCAGCGACCATTAAAACGTTCAGAAGCATCAAAATCAACTTGGTAAACTTCAAAGTCGTTTTTCTCGAAATCTTTTTTTCTGAGCGTAGGTGTCTTTTAACTTTACGTGTCACATATATTAAAAATTTCTTAAAACTGTTAACTGGTTTAAAAAGTAGACTATAAAAGACTAAAAAAGGCAATAGTCCCAGCGCGGTTTAAAAATTAAACCCAAATTTTTGACCATGTTCACATGCAATCATTACACAGCTCACTGATACTCTAGTTAAAACACAAAAAAAACAATGCCAGGGTAAATATTTTAGACAAAGGCGGGCGAAAACACTTTCAACAATTAACGTTTTAACAAAGCGCAACATTTCTAGCAATATTTTATACGGAATTCACATTTTTTACAAAATTTTCGCGAGCGGTGCGGAAACTTGACCGAAGCGGTTAAGCGGCGGCGGAAATTTGACAATGCATAGAGTTGCATTTATCTACAATGCGGGGTAAAATGAGTAGCGGCGACATCTGTTCGTGGATTTTTAGCCAATATAAAGTAAAACATTTTATAAATTTTTTTATACTAATCAATATTAAAAAGCTAAATCCTATGGTTTTAATTCACAGCTGAGCAGCGTCTGCCCGGCGTGCTACTGTGCGGCGTATTCGCGTATACATACACTAGGGATGTTAATTTTTTCGATGTTTGCGATCCCGGGATTTTCGGGATGTCTTTGGTTCAATCCCGGGATCCCGTGATCAGTTCCGGGATTTAGATATTTATTATTTATCAATGACCTAACATGAAAAAATTGCATCAATATGGGTTGAGAAGCTCTCCTACCATATAATAAATAACAAGTAAATGGGTTTTAAACGTACTTTTTTATTTAAAGTGGAAATTATTTCATAAGTAACAAAACGACAGACAGTGTAATTCGACCAGTTTTGTCTACATTCCTCTTGTTTATCCAAAATTTAAATTTTTTCTATAAAAGTCTACTTCATAATACACATAATTAACTGCATATGTATAAATGGGCATTTCTCTCACGGCATGATTTTTAAAAAAAAAGACTTTATCGAGCCCTAACCGCCAAAATAACGTAAGCGACATTTTTTTCAAAATTTCCTTTTTTATGCAGAAATATTCCTAGAGCATCTAGATGCATTTCTGCATCTAAACGAAAATTTTGAAAAAAATGTCGCTTACGTTATTTAGGCGGTTAGAGATATGGTTAATTCCAAAGTTTATTAAAAAAATTAAGTGCCCCTTTAATCTATTTTATTTTTTAAGCTAATAAAGTTAGTCCTTAACATATAATTTTATCAAAAATAAGAATTAAAATAAACTCTAGGTATTTTCAATTCCTACCCGTCCCTTACGGACCAAAAAATGTAATGTGTTTTAACTCTACAGAATCTTCTCTTTCATTTGATACCCATACTGGTTTCTTAAGTATAATGTACTGAAATTTTTTAATCATTTTTTGAATTACTCATATCTTTCAAATTCCAAAGTTCTTTTTAAAAATCCTGACGTCAGAGAGAAAAATTAAGACCGCAATTTTACTATATTTGGCCCTTGGTTTGGCGAATATATTAAGATTTTTGTGTGCAAAATTGCCTGCCGCATATAATATATGTATTGTATGTATATTAAGCTACACATTTACAAAAAAAAAATGTTAAATATTAAATAAACAAAAGAAATATATACAAAACTGGTCAACATAAAGCCTTTCTATTATTGCTACCAGTGTTAATTACAAGTCCTGAAAATTCCGGGATTCTAGTCAAATAATCCCGGGATTTTCAGGACCTAAAAAAGACCGGGATCCCGGGATCCCGGGATTAACATTCCTAACATACACGCTCTGTTTGGGAAGACAGCGAAAGCTTCATTCAACCGCACGACTTGTTCGTACGCACACAGTGACATCAATTGCACGCACAACTACGAAAATCCTCTGCAGAAGCTGCCCACCTCTGTTTTAATACAACAAAATGTTTTCGTCAACTGAGCTAAGATTTTGTAAGTTATAATGATATTTTTTATTAGTACTTATGTAACTTTGCAGCGCAATTGCAACTCTGAGTGTTGTCAAACTTTTGCCGCCTTTCCGGTCGTTTCAAATTAATTTCCTCCGCCCCTCTGCTTGTTAGGAGGTAGCAACCAATTGTATCTCGCATCTTTGCACATTCAGCAACAGCCATGAATGTAAATGTGCTTTCATATCGTCGCCTGGGTAAAATATTGTCGTAAGTGGCATACGTACGTGCGTAACATACGATAATCTTTTACCCAGACGACGATATGTTGAGTTTGAATCAACACCACATTTCGCTGTGTTGATGTCGTCAGTTCATAAGCCTAGATTTTAAGCCAAATTTTCTATATATGAAACCTAGAAACTAGAATTAAAACATTTTGGTTTGATTTTTAAACCACGAACTTTTTGGTTTTAGTTTTAAACCACTCATAGCAAAACATCATTTTCTCGGCTGCCTGGACTAAAATTTAAACCATAATATATTAAAAATTGCTTAAAACTATTGACTGTTTTAAAAAGTAAACTACAAAAGATTAAAAATGGCAATAGTCCTAGCGCAGTTTAAAAATTAAACTCAAATTTTTGACCGTGAAGCAATACATTTTTCTAACTATATTTCGTTTTAAAAAAATACTCACCTTTACTCAATAGATAGCGCCTAAATGTAACTGTGTTATTATTTGCACATTGCAGCACTTATTTTACACACACACACATATATTTCAGAGCCTTTGCATGCTACCCTCCCACGCTTACCGCAGCTCTAGTGAAAACACATAAGAAACAATGCCCGGACAAATATTTCACTTATTTGCGAGAGAAAACACTTACAATAAACTTATTAGCAAAGCGCTACAGTTTTAGTAATACATATTTTACACAGAATTGACATTTTTCACAAAATTTTCACGAGCGTCGCGGAAACTTGAGCAAGGCGGTTAAATGGCGGCGGAACTTTGACTATGCACAGAGCTGCATTTTGTGTTTTTATGTACAATGCGGGGTAAACTGAGTAATGGCGACATCTGTTGGTGAAGCTTGCGCGTATATTAAGTAGAAGAATATTTTGCCCGATTTCATTTTATAATGTGCGATCCACAGATTTTCATCAAACAAAATGATACATAATTCGCGTCAAACCAAATACATTTTTTGTGAGTCATTTTGGTATTTTTTTTTTATTAATTAGAACTTAACTTTGCCGCACGAATGCAACTCTGGCCGCTGTCAAACTTTTTCCGCCGTTCCGGTCGTTTGTCATTAGTTTCCCCTTCCGTGTGTGAAAATTTTAGTTGCTTTTAGTTATACATATTGTAGAAAAAGTTAAATTGTTTCAGAGTTTTGTTCTAAAATTAATTGTTTTCTCAGCTGTGCATGTTTTCTTTCGAATATAATGTAAATCTTACTTCAATATGTGCCTGCACTTTGTGTTCATAGCAATTGTTTTAGTGGCTGAGTGCAATCTAGAAAAATTGCCAGAAAATGATTTCTAATAGTAAATAGCAAATAAATACAAATAAATTTGTGAAAGTTTCCGGCACTACCTATATCAAAATCCTTCATCTACGATATTTTAATAGTCATTAATAACGCAAGTATAAAATTCAAAGCCTCATTATTTTATTTTACTTACTTGTAAATCTATAAATGCACCATTTCAAGAAATTTATAAATACACCTTTTCAAGAAAGTTTTGAGATTTCCTCAATTAAAAAATACTTTATGAACATTAATAATTCATCGCGTTTTAAATATCAATCAGCTTTCAACCCACAGAAGCACGCACTTTTGCATTTTCCACATTAATATAATTCTCTTGCACATCCTTAACCATAAAATCTACTAAATTATCCAAATCATAGTTATGCTGCCAACCCCAATCGCGACGTGCTTCAGAATCATCGAAAACTTGCGGCCACGAATCAGCAATCGCTTGCCGTCCATCTGGCTTATAGGTGACTTGCAAATTTGGAACATGACGGCTCAGTTTAGCAACCAGCTCTTCAGGTGTGAAGGACATTGCTGTAACATTGTAGACGCGTCGCTTCAAACTCTCCGAAGGGGCACACATAATTGTATGCAGAGCGCTGCAAGGATATGTAGATTGGTAAAGCGCATGATAATTATTAGTGGGTGAGAAATAATCGTTAACATACCCGTGTCGTTCAATTAATGTAGCCTCAATCGGCATAGGCCCTTTTCCCTTTAAAGCAGCATTTTATTCGATTCCCAAACAATATTTTAACTTTTAACTAGAAACTTCAAGTTCAGGAAGCCCTTTTAATAGAAACTTAATAAACATAAAAAATTCTATTTTTAGCACATACCAAATGATGACATTTAAATAGCAGTGGAATAGCTGCGCTTGATTGTAGTTGGCTTAACAAATGAAAACGTGTAAAAAGCAACAACAGTTTACGTGGCGAACTTAGCTCAGTGGGTAGACTGCTGCCTATGGCGGCTGGGGTCGTTGGATCGAATCCCAGTTGAAGAAGTGTGATGAGGAGATGTGGTGATCTCCGAAATAGCTATAACTTCTACCAAAAATGTACATGAATTGTGTTTTTTTTTAATTGTTGAAAATAAAAAAAAATATCAAGGGAAACTGATTACTTTTTAATTTAAAATCACACCTAAAGTCACTTGAGCTACTTAAATTGAACGGCGCAGATATGTAAATTAATTTTGAATTGTTTAATATTTTTTTCAATTAAAAATTATTCAGATATGCTGCTGTGAACAAACATGTCTTGGTTTAATATAATTTTTGTGAAAACACTCGTAAGACGGTGCTACAAAAAAAAAGTCATGAAATACACTCCAAACAAAACCTGGTGTAGGTTGTAGCATGGTCGAGTTCAAGATGAAAATAGGTCCCGTATAGTTCCTGAACCCTCCATTTTTTATTTAAAAAAAAACGTCATTTACGTACTTGATGCACTCATCTATTAATAGCTCAACTATTTTCCATCCGATTTTAGAAATCGAACAATAATTTTTAGTAAATATTGATGAACTCCTTAGCTACACTGCTCAAAGAATCTGCACATAATGCCTTATTTTTGCTTAAATTGCTCTATTTCGACAGTGTCAGTTTATTTGAAAATAAATTTTCTTATAGATAAATACCACATATTTGGCATAGAAATTTTTGAAATTAGCGATGATCAAAGTTCAAAAAATTAAGAATAATAGGGGCACATTAAAATTTAACCGATGAAAACTCCCAACATGGCAAGTTTAATAATATACTTTTATACGTAGTTTTAAAGGAATAAATCCTCTTTTCAAAACCTGATCGATTTTCCAAATGGGATGCAAAATAGTCCAGCTATTAATAGATAAGTGCATCAAAATGGAGGGTTCAGGAACTATACGGGACCTATTTTCATACCTACAACCTGAACTAGGTTTTGTTTTGCGTGTATTTCATGACATTTTTTTGTAGCACCATGTAATTACTAGTCTACTCAAAATATTTTCGACTCACCTGAGACAATCCTCAATGTACATCATCGGTAAACGCGTATCAGGGCGTAAATAGCAAGTGTATTTGCTAGTGCGTAATGCTTCGTGAAATATGGCGACAGCGTAATCTTAAAGGAAGAGAAGGTAAGAGCAAAAGAAAAGAAAATTCATAAAATATATATATATTTTTTTTTGTAAATCTTTTTTTTGTCTCTTCGATATACTAATTACAATATATTCGATTTTTATTTTTAGGAAATTTTATTATATTTTATGTATGTTATTTTATTATTTTTTAAGTATTTTTTTTTTTTTTTTGATTCTACATTTGCATGGCTTTGTTTTGTTCGTTTTCAACAAAGGGCGCCTGAAATATATTTTTCCTTCTCTATTTCGCGCCTATTACTCGTATTCACTTAATTGAACTGGGTTAAACTCATTGTGCGGTAAATTGGTGAATGCGCCGTATCTTCAATGTACATAATCGCTTTCGTAGCCATAAGCGTCCGTCTTTTTGCCCTTCCCGCTGTTATTCAATTATTGAAAATTGCGATACTTAAAGGGGAAATTGCACATTTAACAAAGTGAAAACAATCGCAAAAGATACACTTTCTTTATTATGATCAATGATGAATGGAGCTTTACTGCATACATATATATGTATATGTGCATTTGTTTTGTGCATAATTGAAATTTATTGTTTAACTGCATAAATATTTTTTGTGCGAAATTGTAACAAAATTTTGATTTTGTGCTCTTTTGTCTATTAGACACTAGTATATTCTATTTTATTTTATTTTACTTTATTTTGTTTTATTTTATTTTAATTTAATTATTATATTTTATTCATTATCTTAAATTTTTGATCGTTTAGTGATCGACTTTTCCTTTCCATACTATTCAGTACTCACCAGTGGTGCCACCGCCAGGTGGATCGCTAGAAATTACACCCGGGAAACGCAAGCACCTAAAGTCCAAGCCAAACTTGTGGAAATAATACTCGCCCATTAGCTCGGCATGCACCTTCGACACGCCATACATAGTACGTGGACGTTGAATCTATGAAATGAAAGGTGAATTGAGTCAAGGAAACGGAAGTGAAAATTATAAGGTATGTACAATACATGTACATATGTACATGCTATATTTCATGAGCTTGAAAACCTTTGGCAAATGCATTTTTTTTAACAAAAGAAAACTAAATAGAAAGTGTTGCATTTAATAACGACTCACCGTCACATTTGGTGTAGGATTCCGTGGACTGTCTGGCCCAAATGCGCCAATGGTGCTCGGTACGAAAATGCGTAAATTGTACTGTTTGGCAAGTTCGATGACATTATGTACACCTTCGATGTTGACGCTGAATTTTGGTAGAAACAAAATTATGTATTTACGAGCATATGTATGTTTAACAATTAAATGAATACCGTGTGCGCCGGTGCAAACAATTTCTTTTTCGGGAACCAAAGAAAATTGCAAAAAAAAAATCATAGTATTAAATGCAAGTGGCATACGAGTACAGTAAATGCAAGTGACATATGTACGTTCGTAGGCATGTGAGCAGACGACATGAAATTAAATTGCCAACAACACGCGAGTAACTACTTCTACAAGTATTTGGTAATATATTTGCGTGACTAAGTGAAAGTCTTCCTAAATTATGACATATAATCAACGCGCAGACAAATAAAATAAAAGCTTACAAATCCAAGAAATGTAAACAGTGCATTGACAAAAAAAAAAGAATTCAGAAATAGCCGTACTTGGCAGCCATATTATTGGCATGCTAATTTTACCAGTTATGAGGAGCACTTACCGCACCGCCAGCGGCACATTTTGCTCGCCTATCGCGCTCAATAACGCTGAGAAATGTATCAGCCAATCGACGCGATGATCAACTACGATCTTTTGTAATCCTTTGAAATCTAAAATATCAGCAAATATGTAGGGTCCACTCTCCACTACTTGCTTGCTGGGTTTAACAATGTCTGAAAGTATGACACTTTCATCGCCATACTGGGAGCGTAAGCGTTTGGCGCATTCGATGCCTAGTTGGCCGAGACCACCTGAGAAAGAAAAGCGTATTATTTAAGGATACTACTTAGTTAGTTAAAGCAGCAAAGCGTAAAATATAGAAATTTGCTAATTTAGATTTTGTATAATTTGCTAATTTAAATCTTTGAAGTCGTGAGGGAAACCTTTTTTCCAAAAAATGATTATGTGCATTAGGGTGATCCTTTAAAAAATATGGAAATCAATATTTTGTATGGGCCACCCCTTTAATGAGTTCTATTTACTAAATGAGGACTTCAACGAAAATTTCAAAATTGTAAAACAACTTTTATGGGTCGCTACTAGAGCTGTTAATTTTTTCGTTTTTTACGATACCGTGATTTTCGGGATTTAGATATTCATTACTTTTCGACAACCTAAATTGAGAAAATTGCATCTATATTGTTTGAGAAGCTCTCCTACCATAAAATAAATAATAAATAAATGGGTTTGAAACCTACGTTTTTTATTTAAAGAGGCGTTTTTTATTTTTTCTCTCTGACGTCAGAATTTATTTTAAAGGACGTTGTAATTTCAAACATATAATTAATTCCAAAAATTATTTAAAAAATTCAACGCAATGTAGAATAAAAATATGGGTACCAAATTAAATACGAAATTTCTTTAGAATTTAAGATAATTAAAATTTTTTGATTCACAGGATGAATAGGTAATTTTTTGAGTTGTTTAAAGTTCCTCCTCGTCCTCGTTGATTTTACGAGTGTATTTAAAATTGTCAACCATATTGCACTGAGCATCGTGCTAAACTTTGAAATAGCAAACTTTGAATTTCGAAAGAAATTATTGATTTAAAAAATTACATACAAAAGTAATTATTCATTAAATGTAATTATTCGTAAAATATTGTAAGTGGTTTACCTTTCTAGGAAAAATCTGATAAATTTGGCACATTATTGAAACTATTCATATAAATTCATAGTCATCGCCAAATTGACTCATCATGCAATATTAAGCGCCAAAAAACTGGTTTTTTTTTTAGTTTATTTCGGAATACTAATTTGCAGCATTTTTAACATTTTCGTGAAAACTAAATTACAAAAAAAAAATAACTTGAAAAAATACCAAGAAACTCAGGTATAGTAGAGAATAAATATGAACTTTCTAGGCTCAAAACGCATTTTTTAATTTTTTGATAACAAAATATGTCAAATTGTTCCAATTTTAATATTTTAATGTTTTCAAATCCTGGTCGAGATCGGTAAAAATTATTTTCCAATTTTGAAATTTTTGTGAATGCCTTTACATTACATGTTGTTATTTTTAAGGGCCACCCTAATGTGCAAACATACATATGTATGTATATGTACATATTCGAAATAGTTTGATGAATTTTGGGAAGCTTTGATTTAAGATTTTAGTTGTAGATTAAGGTCCTTTAAGACCAAAATAAAAATATTTAACTTTTTTTCAAAAACTTTAACCACGTTAACCGATTTCCATAATTCTTTATTTTCTATCTCCGGTATCTCCGATCCCATATTAATTTGGTTTAGATCCGATCATTTCATCATGCAGAATTTAACAGTGCTCTTAAATTTTTATATAACAATCGAAGTCGGTTTTGTTTTTAACTTAAAAATTACTTGTTGTTTTTAAATCTTGTAAATTCTTTTTAAAAAATATTATATGTATTACTTTTATTTACAACTGAAATTGTAGTTTCCTACTTGAACGATTTAAAATTATTATCCCTTAATTTTTATAGTTTTTTTTCAATTTTAAAAAATTTGGTTTTTGATTCAAATTAAAGAGAAAATATTGGCAAAAAATATTTTTATCCGAAAAACTATAAATTAAAACAAATGCAAAGCATAAAAAGTTAAATTTGGCATATTCCAATATCAGCCATATCAGGCGTCTTTCTCTCATGTTTTTAAATGAATGCAACCTGCAGAATTCATTTTGAAAGCTTTGTATTATTATCTTCGTTCGTTATTCTAAATTAATATTCATCGAAAATTTGTAAAACTATTTTGCGAATATCACAATTTTGGATCCATAATACTATCAAAATATATGTACGTGTTTGATTTTTTTTTTTTGTTTAATCTACATGTATCAGAACACAAGTCTTCCGTCTAAGCATTCAAGGTTAAAAATAACGAAAAAATTGGCAGCAAAATTTTTTTCCACACGTCATGTCACGCGTGTTTTACCGGTCTGAAAAAAGATTTAACAAATGTCCTTGTAGAGTTTTGTGAACTTTAGTTGTTTTAAACTTTACTTTTATTTATGTATTCTAATTTTTTATATTGAAAATCTTGTGTAGATAAAAAAATATAAATTTTCAGCACCGCGCGATTTCTTTATACAGTAATAACCAATTTTATTGTTGTTGCTCCGAAAATATTATGTATTTGACTTACCGGTTATCAAAATTTTCGGTGGTCGACTTTTACTATGCTGAGCGCGTTTATTTAGCGCCTGACAGACGATTGGCGTTAGGCACGCTGTATTATTAGTGATCTTATTTTGCACGAAAGTCGTTAAACACTTTCTCAGCATTTTCTTGGAGGAGAAATTTCAACTTTAGCAATTTCAAATTTAATAAAGTATTTAAAGTTTCAGATTTTCGTTAAAAATTTTTATTTTTAATTTTATTTTATATTTTATTTTATTTTTGTTTTCTTATTTTCTTGTTTATAAATTTTTATTTCTATCCAATTATTGTGTGGAACACTTTTTATACTATGTATATTTTAAATCTAAAGCCTTTTTAATACTCAATCCTTAGATTTTCTCTATATAATTTTCTATAAATTCTTTAGTACTTTGATGTGTTGAGCAACAAATTTTTCGTGATCCGGCTTTCTCTAAATTTCACCGGCCAACACATAGATGTGTGGCTATCCACTGACTTCTGTTTACTATTCTACCCGACAGCTGCCGTTCTTGATTTTGCTGTTCTGGCAAAATTTGTGACTTCAAGTAAAAAAATAAAAATAAAAAATGTAATACATACTAATAAATATCTAAGTTTTGTTTTGTTGCCGCCATTGTGTGGAAGATTCAACAATTTTGCTCGTAACAACAAAAAGTATTTAGAGATGCATAAGTACATATCGTCGACTGGGTAAACGATTGCCGTAAGCGTCATACGAACGTGCGTAACATACGACAATCTTTTACCCAGGCGACGATATATGCATGAATATGTTCAAACATTTAAATCAATGAGGAACAATTCGAGACATACATACATATGCACATACTTGTATGTATGTATGTATATTCGCACACACGCTTGTTTATGAGAAATTGGAGTGCTCGAACGCGTCGCATCATTATTTGCTCTATATTTATATGAATTTTTTTATTTGTTAATTTTTTTAGAAAGGCTTCGGGGGATATGTCTATAATATTTCGCATAGATCTTCAATAAGCCAAACGGTGCTGTGACTATGACATATTTTATGTATTTCTATATCCACGTAATTTTTGCCGGAATTCTTGATACACGTGCCGCGTGATGCCTTAAATAAAATTGATGGTGTGCCGCGAAAATTCGGTTTTTTAATATACATATTTGTGTATGTACATTAGGGTGGTCAAAAATAAGTAGTTGGAATTTTAATGCTCTCACCCCCTAGAATTGTTCTATATCGAAATAAATATGCCTCTATTTTTTATTTTTTTAATGCGCTCAAATTTTTCCATGTATTTTATACGGGGAAAAACCTGTTTTAGGTGAAATGGTAGAGAATTCTTGAAAAGCAATATTTTTCGATCGGAAAACTCTGGTTCTCTTCAGAAGACTTCCAATAACCCAATTGCTTATTTACCCATTTTTTTAATACTAACGATTTTTTTATTACCCCGATTGCATTTTCTAGGGGTTTTGGCGGACCTATAAAATATACTAGCTACTAGGAAAAAATGGTTAAATAAAATAATATGAAAAGTTTTTTTTCATATAAAATACTTTCAACCCTTTCAGCGACCTCTAAAGATTTTTTGATTTCAAAATAAAAAGATAGGGGTATATTTTTTCGGCTCTTTAAGATGAACATCCCGTCAAAAAGAGAGTGGGAAATACCAAGATCGTGGAGAATGGGGAAACTTAGTTTTTGGCTCGGAGTTTTTTTCTAAAGAATTAGAACTGGAATTATCCGCCCGAGTTCCGGACCACAGCAGCATTTACGAGGCAGAAGTTGTAGCTATAAAAGGAGGTGGCTGTGTACCTTAATACACATGCCGTAACAAAGACTACGATTAATACCATATCATCAAATCAATGAACGCGGTAATACTAAGATCAAAGGTTGCACCGGAATGCCTAGCAGATGTAGATGATATTAGCACCGCCTTCAATATCAGCCTCATATGGGTTCCGGGCAGAGCTGTGTAAGTGTGAAATCATTTTCAATTTTAAATCAACAATTTGTTTCTATCCAGTTTTCATTACTTATTCTTCGCTTAGGATTGAGGTTTAAAATTATTGAATTTTCCATTCTCTCAAAGCAGTTATGAATTCACACATCAACATATTCATAGCAAGATTGAAAAAACCAATGCCCAATCAAAAAAAGGTTTAACACTGAATGAGTATTGAAAAGGCTGCAATCTTTTATGTGTGTGCATTCTTTAACTCAGTACCAATCATTAGTTCAAAGACACCCTGGTAAATAACTTTTTGATAAAAAGGAAGATTTTTGACAATTGCTCAATT